AACTACATATATATATATATATATATATATATATATATATAAATGTAAGCAACAAGAGGAGAACACATTTTAAGTAGATTTTAAATTTCAATTTTTTTAAAACGATAATAAAATTACATTATCTCACCACCTTGACAAACAATCAGAAATAGAGGAGCGAATATGGAATGTTTATTGCAATCTAAAAAGCATTCAATTAAAACCTTATAGGTATGTACCAAGATGCACTCTCCATGACGTGTGCGTACGTATTTTAAAATTGAATAAACAAAAAATCGAAAAGACAGCATAGTTTGTTATGTTGGCATCTTCGACATCTATGTTTTCATTAGTGTATTTATAAAACAGCTAAAATTACAAGCACAACCATGCGCTCAGAATAGCGTCTAATGTTTAGCGTCCTGACAAACTGCGTTGCTTTTCCATTTGAATCAATCAAAATACTCTCCATATTCATATAAATTTTGCTTAACATTTGTTAATACATAATAAAGTATTACCATCTCAATGAAAGCTACGTAGCAGTACACACGATATCTGTGTTGTGTTTGTAAGCCTTAACGCTTTCCTTATTGCGAACATCTGTATTCTAATTTCGCAATTCTTTTGTGGACATTAGCTGCATACACATACAACAGGGACCTGTTCCGTATCCTAATTTTCGCAATTGCATGTGTTCAGACAACAAACGATAGACGAACGAAACCTTTTCCTTTATGCTTACTTTCAAAGTGACAGATAATATTCTTTTTTCACTCTTCGTATAGGAGCATCTGTGCAATCACATCATCGAATATTATTAGCTATTGAAATTTGTTTACAATATTAGTAAGACGTTAATTCGTGGGTATTCCTGTGACCTCTAATTTCAAGATTCATTACATTTTTAAGTTTCCCAAACTGAATAAATTTTCACGCATAAATAGAATTCATTAATGAAAATGAACTAAACTTATGTACAAAAGGTTAATTTAATAACCCAAGCGCATTAACCTTTCAATTCTGATCTTCGATCTAAAATATTCCCGTGGGCAGCTAAGTAATTGCTCGCTGAGAAAAATATTCTTTTAATAAATTAATTTAGAAAATAAATAAATCGACGGTGACCGGTAAGTGTTGAGCATTGACATTGAATATTGAACCTATCACGGTTTATTGATAACCTTAATGATGATAACTCTTATTAAAACTAACCTTAAATTTATTCTGGACTACTGCCGAACTCTTATTTTAATTTAGATGTCGATAAAATTGCAGAACAAAACACAGAGAGAGCCAAAACATTTGACATTTATAAATATAATGAAAAAAATTAAGGCATATTAATATTTCTAATAATTTTTATAGTTTTAATGTGAATAAAATGCTTCAATTTTAGAACGTTGTTTCAAAATGATAAAAATGGCTACATCACGGACAGGCATAAGTGTTTATACACACACACGTGGTTAAATTTATTTTTTATTTTCTTCCAAAACGTCTGTTTGATGGCTTTTTCTCTTTTTCTTATTGATAGTTTTTTAACACTTAATATTGCTGCTCTTCTCTTCGTCCTCTTTCTGTAATTGCCTCTCTTACTAACATTTCATATGTTTTCTTTCCGCTTGACGGTGGAGCATTTCATGTACAGGCATTTGCCGGTTCTGCGCGTTACAAAAACTATATGCACGCTTTTTATAAATATTTTTTTACTTTTTCATATAATTTTTTGTTATTGTTGTGGAATTTGTAGTTTTAGATTTTTGCGTTGTTGCTATTATTTTCGCATCACATTTTTTTTTGTTTTTGTGTTTTTTATTTACATGTACTATAAGTAACTTCTTATTACCACACGAGAGCATTTCTGAGTCGTATTTGCTTTTACCGCGTCTCTCATCATTTCTTTGGTTAAAATATGATTACAAGCTGTGGAAGCAGACGGCCATGCTTGTATACATGCACGCATTTGTTTACATGAGAATAATTCTTATGCTACTATTTAGAATTTTCCGTCCTTTAATTTACAAAATTTGCAGTAGAGTCTTTCCAATCATTTAAGACTACATTTACTTTCACTTTCTTTATCTGTTTGTAAATCAAAATGCACCACTGCACAATGGATTTTCAACATTCTTTAAAAACTCAATTTGAATATAAAAAGTGAAGAAAAAAAAAAAATATATATATATATACATATATATATATACATATATATATTGTGTGTACATACATATAAAGAAAGAAAACCAACTTACCTTTCACGATGCAACAGACAAATACGATCTTTCACAAGCTTTAGCTTTTTTGAAATTGTTTTCTTTAAGGACTCGACGCTAATGAAAGGATCAACCGTTACACTGAAATTGTTACCAGTTGTAGTGTTAATATTAAGATTAATGGGCGCCAATTGCGATGATTGATTGCGGTGCTGACGAATCATTGATAATGAAGCGGCAGAATTTAAGATGTTCCTGGCTTGAACGGTTGCTGATGCGATCGAAGCAGCGGCAGATTTTGTGCTGTTATTGATGCGGTAGTTTTCGATGACGGTGCAGGGGCTTTTGGTACTAACGTTCGCGGCGCTAGCAGAATAATTCAGATTAGCGCTAACAATTTTCTTGTTATTACAATTCGAAATGCTGGTTGCTGTAGTTGCGTTAGCTGATGGACCACACCCAACATTTGTTAGATTTTGCAAAATGCAATCATTGCTTGTTTTCTTATTGTTGTGCTGAAGTTGATTAGCATCGCTAGTCGTATCAATTGAACTTGTAACGTGGCCGTTGCCATCATTTAACGGGGCAACTTGATTTGCTGCTCTATCGACTTCACTTTTACTGCAGTCGTTACTGCCACTACTTTCAACTGTGGAAGATGCGACCGTTGTAGAACCGGGCAGTAATGACGCTGGCGTTGCAGTAGTAGGAGACTCTGTTGGTTTATCCATTTTGTTTTCTTTTTAAAGAGTGCAAACTTTTCTTAATTTTTTATTTACAGTTCTTCTCCAAACTTGATCTTTTCTTTGTTGTAAGAAAAAGGGAAGAGACACGAAACAACTCGCTTTTTCGAACAAAAAGATATAAGCAATAACGTTCAAATCAAATTGTTTTTTTTTTAAATGTTTTGTGCGTTAATCAATCGATTTCCCCACACCTTGGTTAGAAGCGCATACATACGTAAACGCAGCACACACAATTTCAATTATTTTTGTTGTTGCTTCTTTGCTTTATTAAGTACTTTTATTTGTTATATGTACAGAGTCATGAGGTGTGAGCAGACAGTAGAGTAATCAAGAGTTAGCAGAACGAACGTGAGTGGCAAGAAAAAGAACAAGAAACCGCACAAATTCAAGTAAGAGAGGTACGACAAGAAATTTATATCTGTATGTATATATTGAAAATCAGAGGCTGAGATGTTATCGTCTGATACCTCTTTTCTTTTTTCTTTTTTTTCGAAAAAAAACGATATAATTAATTCAAGTTATTGCGAAATTGTGTATAAAACGAGAAAATACGCACTTTAAAAATTCACCTCTTTCTTAACAAATTTTTATTACATCAAAGTTACTTTTTTTAAAATAATCTGCTTAATTGATGCTTGAGATGTAACAAATGAAACACTCTTGTTGTTGCTTTAAAATAAATCACAGAGCAAATATAAACTTGAATACGTCGAACTATCCGCCTTACAAAAAACAACCGCACTACACCAATGACAAAAGTTCACTGGGCTATTCTGATTGTTTGGCTTTTCTGCCAGAAATTATTTGCTGCTCGGTTCCCAAAAAATATGTGATTTGCTTTGCTGCCGACGTCGCGGCTTCTCTGAAACCACTCAGCAAACAGAAGAGTTTATAAATTTTTCTAGTGGAATAAGTAAAAAAATTATCACAATTAAATTAAAATCTGCTACTGCTAACAGCAGCAACAGCTGTTTCGCTGTTCGCTCAGGAAATATTCAAATTAAAGAGTTTAAGAATCATCTCGAAATATAATAATATCTGCTCATTTTTACCCTAAACTAGGAAATTTTTTTGTTTGAAATTATTTTGGAATGAAAACAAAAGTAATGAAATAATTCACGTTTTGCTATTTGCCGGATAGGCTGACTAGATGTAAGAGAGAATTTTCGAAACAAAAACGAAAAAAATTTATATTGAAAATTCTCAACAGGGGCTCAAAAATTCATTACCTTTTTGGCCGACGTGAGACTTTGTATATCCTGCAAGATTATAACGCTCGTTGGGCATAGAATGTCAGTTTGAAACCGTATAAATAAACTTAAACGCACTAATTCTAAATTTATCCTATTTTACTATAACATTTTTTTGCTACATTCCAGTAATATTGTGCACGAAGCGCACGCAGCGAGGAGCGGCAAATTTCATATAACGATTTAAAATGCCAACTTTTTGCGTTATTCAAATTATTTTAGTAATCCAAAACTGATCTAGATGAGCATAAAAGCTCTTAATACGGATGAGGAAAAGGACTTACCATACAAATTCGTCTGAAGTAACTAATGTTTTTTGCCGTGAAATCTCAACAGAAGTTCCTGAGATTGCTGATTTGCTTGCAAAGGAAATTTTTGTTTCAGCTGTTTACAATATTATAAGAAATCGAACATATGTTCCTACAAACAAATTTGCCCTATTATTTCCATAGGAATTTCAAATCAAACTCCTGTTTTATCATAATGTTGCTTTAATAATAAAATAAGGCAATTAAATTTATTATATTAGTCAAAAGGGCTCAGTGAGTTAAATCTAGAGATCTGTAATTTTTTCTACGACGTATTACTTCGAGAACTTTTTGGTCCTCACGCTATTTGTAAATTGCTTTTCCATATAAAATATATTTTCAGTTTCGCCAAAAATACCCTCAGATATAATTTTTTTCTTTACAAAGTTCGAAAGAACATTCGAATTAAAATACTTATTTTTAATTATCGTATAATTTAGCTTCCAATTCTTAAAATCCGGGTATTGCCATAATAAAGAATTTATTAGAAAAATTTGACAGTCACAATTGCTGACACCACAACAAAACACGCAAGACATTTTCTTGCTGGAATTTCTTTTTGAAGCAAGTTTTTATATTTAGAAAACAATTAATATATTTTTTTACAACTATTTTAAAGATTTCATGAGTTAAGTTTTAATAACAATAGTCAGACAACTCATTTCTCTTCAAAAGAAAGATAGGATTTCACTTTCATTTTCGTAAAGACGGTTAAGTAAATATGGACCACCACGGCCTGCATGCGCCAGTCAATAAGGTAAAATGATGGAGCAATGAATTAAAAAAAAAAATTGAAATCGTTTTGTTTTTTACTTTGATTTTAAAATTAGTCCCTCGATGAAATGACTGACGAGGAACGTTTGAGGTAATTACCAATTTAAATGGAATGCAATATCTTTATAATTTGATTTACGTTCATATACAAATAAATTTTTATTTTAGATATGAACATCAAATGAGGCATGAAAGACATAAAGGCCATGAAGCAATGCATTCCGAAATGGTATTAATATTGTTTATAACACTAATTGCAGCACAAATTATTTTGGTGCAATGGCAAAAACATCATTACAGATCATATTCGGTACTACAGGAAATTCTTTTTGAAATAACTATTTTTTGTGTTGACAGCAAATCGTTTTTACTCCCTTTCTAGGTGGTTTCACTATTGGCGATGTGGATTATACCGCTGGGTATATCGGTGTTTCAAGTGTGGCCGCGCTTTATAGTAATTTGGATATTGTTTTCAAGTATCACAACTTTTGTTATCAGGAGAGCAATCAGCAAACCTATAGAAGGATCTACACCAAGGTTAGAAGATTGTCTAATAATCAGGCAGTTGAGATGATTTTTATACATGTTTTCCTTTCAGATTAGTTTACAAATGGTTTTTGTTTATATATAAATTAAGTTATGCACTGGGCATTATCGGTTATCTGATAATGATGGCCACATTTATGGGTTTCAATTTTATATTTAATCAAGCGCCACATGTATGGATGGATATTGGTTTATTAATTGTATTCTACGGTCTGTACATCGGGGTGCTGGGTCGCGATATATCGGAGATATGTTCAGAAAAAATGGCTGCCATTATAGGGGTAAATGACACGCGTTTATACTCGCCGACTATTATGTCTCTCTATTAATTTTTTGCAGTATTACACGCCGCAAGGTATACCAACGCGACACTTAAAGCAAAATGTTTGCGCTGTGTGCGGCAATCAACTATTGGTTAGTGAACAGGAAGAAGGTATCATTGAAAATACCTACAAGTTATCCTGCAATCATGTGTTCCATGAATTTTGCATACGGGGCTGGTGTATTGTGGGTAAAAAGCAAACCTGCCCATATTGTAAAGAAAAGGTCGATCTAAAAAAAATGTTTTGTAATCCGTGAGTTTGAACACTAAGAGCAATACGTCAAGCACTTGCTTTAATTATTTCCATTTTTTCCAGTTGGGAACGACCTCATGTTTTGTACGGACGATTACTAGATTGGTTAAGATTTCTTGTAGCTTGGCAACCGTTAATATTTTTTTTTGTTCAGGGTATTAATTGGGTATTGGGCTTAGAATAATAATAACTACCTCGCAGCACACCAAACACACGCCACATGTATATGTGTATATATATATATATACATATAAATATATATATATATATATATATAACGAATACCTGCAACAATTGAAGTAGACTCTAGTCGCCATATGCTGTAAATTTTCCGTATCGTCTGTCCAGTGCACTAATTTTCCATAATTGATAATATAAACTTATTGACCAACACACACAAAAAACCATGTGTTATATTTTAATAAAAACGGAAAATTGAAAAATGCATTAAAGTTTTTAAAGAACACCGGCAATTTATTTACATCTAAATACAATTATTGTCATTATTGATCACATTTTTTTACTGCTGTTGTAATAAACAATTTAAGGTGCGCCTTAAAAAACTTTCAACATCTACAGCCATAGCAATAAGTTAGTGCAGTAAATCAACTTCATGTTGAATTAAAATGCTGCACCACCAAGAATGCTTCGAAGTTGTTCGAAGGTAACCCAAAAAGTCAAAGCCCAAGGTCCTAAACGTATCCAGTGAGGCACGAAACCTTTATAAAGGCCCATATAACCTTCTGCGCTCACAGTTTGCTTCAAACAATCCAGAGAACCCTTATAGATGATGCCTCTGGTTTAAAGAATAATTACAAAAATTGAGAGTTAATGTTAAATTTTATATATATCGGAACTTGCCTGCCTCTTTCATCAGTCGGCTGGTTCATGACTCGAGATTTCACCACATCTGCTGGTGTAGCGGCAACTGCAGCCACAAATCCGGCGACGAAGGACGCTAGCATATGTGCCAATGGACCTTCCTTCATTTCCATTTTATGTATAAGAAACCTTTTGGCCAAGTCATAAGCAGTTAAATCGCCTAAATGATTTGAAACAATTTATGTAAGAAGCAAAGTAATTCAATGTTTACTAATTGGCTTTACCCAAATTTACTAGAGCAGCACGTTGCACGCTGGGTACACTACCTTGCCAAAGGCCCACTATCCCGCCGCGTTTGTAAATGTCTACAAAAGCTTGATGGGAACTAAGGATGCGCGGCGGTTCACCCATTAGACGACGTTTACCCTCCATTTGCATTTGTACTTTAACAAGATCAGCGGGATTGGCTAACCACTGTGCAAGGCAACCAGACAGAAGGCCAAATAAGGCCGATTTCCACACGGGGAGATTATCATGACCAAACGTAGTGCGTAAATAATCGTAAGTGCAAACTCTTACACCGCTAAATAAAAAAGACAAAATAAAATCTGTTAAATTACATGAAGAACATTATTTAAGTGCCACAATAACCTGTAAATCATATGACGATATATAACTGAAGACACGCCGTACCATAATTTCAGGGGTCCTTCTTCTTTAACAATACCAAATGCCGTGGCTAACATACCACGATACTTCGCCTACGCAAGCATTATAAGTGTTACATGTATTACAGAAAGTACGTTATAATTGTAATGAAGGTTAACCTTAACTTCTTGAGCTTTGGCAAGTTCACCCTGAATTTGTAGGCGAGTTTTCGTTAGATCCAGTGGATAGGTAATTAATTCAGCGTTTGTTGCTGCTAACACAGACAGAATATATGTACATGGTATAGTGTCGATGAAGCGTTTCTCAACATTTTCCGTTAACGGTGTTTTAGTATCGGTAACGATTGGTTTCTTTTCAACCATTGTCTTATATTTGCTAAACTATTTGGTTTCGGCAAAAATCTTTATTTGAAAAAGAAATACAAAAATAAACCGATTTGAAAACTATTATCATCTATTGTTTAATTTTTTGTAAACTTTCAAATTTTTAAATTATATTTTTTGCTTTTTCACGTCAACAGGGTGTTTGATATGCTAGAAATTTAACGGCTTTGACTTTCTGTATTACATTATATACCAAGTTTCCACGTATGCAGTGTATGTATTGGTAGACGGGTATATAATATCAAAACAGTGCTTCAATCAAATATTCTATTTATATAAACTTAAGTAGAACATTAAGCGACAACTACATCATACACAATTAGATGTACACACACACGCACACGGCTACGCACGCTTGAAGTATTCACTACATACCATACCATTGAATAGTCCTTAATTGCGGCGCATTTATGCTTTCTGTATTATGAATAGGAAAACATAAAAGATAATTAGGAGGCTGGTAACTGCTGAGATATCACTTTCTCCTTTCTTATATTATTCCACGTCATTTTTGCCAAATCACACTTCTTCTTTTCCTCTATTCACCATTGATATTGTTCATTGCATGCTTATTAATTAACATGATGCAGACATTAAATAAAATATTATTATTAATAGAAATGATAATGTTGACACTAATTAGGGATGCCAAACTGCATTTAATGGCTTTCAAAGTTTCCATTTTAACGGTTTATCCGATTTTCATTTTGCACTTTGGTAAAATCTGTGGAAAAGTTAATAACTGTACTGTATAAAGCAACATTAGGAGCTTTAACTATTATTGAGTGATGTTGCATTTTTTTGCGCCAACAATGCAAACAAACCAAGAAGATAAGTAAACATGAATATTTACTAATAATTAACGGCTACTGACAGTCAACTTTTCTAATTAATAAGAGTAAAGCGAAGAGCTATTAAGGCTTATCGTGAAAACTGTATATGGGTCAGGGTGTAATCATGTAAGTAAGTGAGAAGGCAGTCACCAATGGAATCTGATCGTGTAAGTGAATATGCTGGTGCTTGTCGCCAAATGTACTCTCTCATGCACGTCAAATCTAGATAGGAACAAAAAATTGCATTAATTTTGAGCATAAGCCGAGAAAAGTTACCAAAAAACTCTCCTTTAAAATTGTGTTTGTGGGACACAACAGCTGTAAAAGAAAAATATAAACAATCGTAAACATATTGTTCGTTTACTGCAGCTGCTAGAAATTAAATTAGAAAAAATTTTTACTAATTTGCAGCAATTAAATGTAAAATTTCTTATAAATCAACTATGATCACGAGTTTCCTTTTCCCAAAGACATTGAAGTTCGTTTATCATTTTAAAGCCAAACACGAATTTTACATAATTGTCTTTTCATTTCATATCGCATTCTAGATATTGTTTACCATATGTGGTTTGTTTATACAAAAAAAAAGACCTTCAATTTGCATTCTATGTTTTGCGCCTCATTTATTATTGCAATATAATGGAATATTTGAGGGCAAATATTGGTAAGTTGATGAGAACGACACATGATTAGCTGTTTCCTCTCTTGTATCCTAAAAAAAAAAGACAAGACGATAATTACATCGATAGTCGACTGCTTATATAATTACCCTCCAGTATTCTGTTATTTTAGAAGCAGAGTTGTTTTATTTCAATCATACATGTTCGTTGTATCCGCGTTTGTGAAAACAGAAAACCCTTAAATTTTATTAATGCTGTAAAGATTAAATGCCGTAAAAGCTGTAATATGTGGAGCGGACCTATTATAAAAGCCACGAAAAGATTTATTTCTTTTTATTTTTCAAACAACATTTCATGTAAAGACACGGGAAAGGAAAATTGAAATGGCTCATATTCGTAATAAAGTTATAACCCTAGAGCAGAAATCATTTAATTGAATCCTATTTTTGAAAAAATTCTTTCAAAAACTATCTTGAAATTGCTAACAATAACATAAATAAAATAACATAACATAATTTCTCCTTCATCCTACGATTAAAAAAAAAATAAAAATACAAAGTCTAAAGTTTTACTTTTATCTTGCACTCTATTAAAATTTGAAAAATAAGGCAAATTTTGACAACTTTTTGCAAAGTTTAAGCTATTAATTTTAACGTCAACAGTAGCGTGCAATCAATCCGAACCAAGTCTCTTTAACTTGAAGATTTTTCGAATATTTTGAAAAGTGTAGTAGAAAACAAAAAGTAATGGCGAATTATATTCAGTAAGTCTTCCTAAAAGAAGATGAACGCATTTGTGGAAGAAGATTCATCTACTTTATAGAACAGTACGGGTGTTTGATTCAAAACTCAAGCACTTCTACCTATAACTCCAAAGAAGAATCACATGGTGGAACATTTTTTTTTAAATTTTGAAAACACCTTGACAACTTACGCGTTCAGCACTCAAGCCGGGCCTTCACAACGTACCTCTCTTTTACATACTGCGTTCGGAAATGTAATTATATTGAAGCGGAAGCTTTCATAAGCGCTGCAAACAGATTAATGTAATGTATATATATATTTTAATTAAAAAATCGTTCATTTATTTGTGTATTTGGTATATGCCAATAGTAAACTCGCCGCACCTCTATATCCAATCATCGTCGGGAAAATCAAGATCGAAAAATATGCTAGAATCCGACCTTTCGTACCAAAAACTTTTCTAATAATTGAAATTCGGAGCATCTAATTCTATTGAGATCTTGAAAATACCTGAAGAACTTAATATCAATAAAACATTTAACTTCATTAAGACTACTAAACTAACTACGAAATCTATCTTATTCCAGTATTGGCCTAACAAAACTCATATTTAAGCTTTTTGTTATATAAGTATTGCCAAACCCTCTCAACCATCGTTTGATGAAGCTAAGAATGTTCCTTGCGTTATTCTTTCGCACACGATATAAGAATGTATGACGGGGTGCCATCGGGCTAAGGAACGCAACTATGCTTAAATGGCCTCAAATCTTGAAGTACATCCTGCTGAGCAATTACAACTTTTGGAACCTCAATGGAATCATTTATATACACGGTTAATGCAGAAGAAACGGAAGAGACCCTTTCGCTTAGAGTTAACAAACTTGAAAAAATGTTTGGCATTAATACGATACTTTTATACTTTTATAGTTTGTATGTATATGCAATAATATTGGTGATTACTATAGTTAAATCTATTCTTACCCGCAGAATATTTCAAATAATCATATGCACTCTTCAAATATCGTTTGAAAAGTTTATTCTTATAGTATTTGAAAAACTCACTAAAATACGATGGACGAATGGCTCCATCGGGACGGTTGTCTGACGGAAACTGCTACTGAAATAACTGAAAGTAGTGAGTTTTACAACGAAGATACTACAGTACCGATATTCGCACCATCATTAATTTTGTTAGAATTTAAACTAAAAGAAAGACCACATTGACTATCGCTATGAAATATCCGGCTTACATTATTCTCAGAGTTAGCTTGCAGGCATTGAAAAGATATGCTGAATGATGGATGATAAGTATCGTCAGATAAACTTAGCGGTGAACAATGGTTAAAAAGTGCTGCCGGGAAATTTGTAAAGCACAGATTCGGGATTGTACCTTTACAATATAGAAAGTGATTATATTGAAAAAGGTTTAAGTCCGATAATTCGTCAAAAAATATTTTAGCTCTATCAAACGCAATAATAGGGACCAAATAACCAAAAATTTCACAAGGGCCCCAAGTGACATGAGCAAAATTAAAGTGCCCCAGCACTATTACCGGTAGATTTAGACACTTGCATCACATCCTGAATAAGGGCAGCATGCTTTATATAAATAGGAACATCAGCACTTGGAGTAATATATGAGCAAGTAATAAATATACTCTTATTACCAAATTTCACCACTATGACAACGATTTCAACATAAGATAGAGCCATAAGTTGAAGCAAGTAGGATTGAAAAACCACTGAAATCGCAATTAAACATCGATCTAGTCAATGCTACTTTATAAAGTTATGTAGAAAAATCTCAAACTATGGAGGGTCCGATTTTGTCAGCTCTCAGTAAAAAACATGCATGAAAGTTCAGTATTGAAGTTCGGTAAGTAGAACGTGTTTTAGAATACAGGCTCCTAACATTTTGGTAAATGGTAGTTAATGAGCCTAAGAATATGCTCAGCTTCTGCTTAGCTGGCCGCGTTACAGAGATTTTAGTACGGGATTTTTTCATCCATATGATTTGCTTAATTAAGCCACAATGATTTGTTCAACATAGTCTGAAGACCACTTGGCAACAGAACTTTAAAAGATGATGTAGATCTAAGTTGAGCTGGTGTTTATTTGAAGATGCTAATTCGACTTACGTTAACCGATGGAACTCTGTCCGCCAAATTCCTCACAACACTCTCGAATCATTAGAAAACACAAGTGAAGCATTATGGATTGGGGAAAAAATAGATCTCGAGCCTTCAATTGAATGAGCTAGAGAGGAAGAGTTAAGAGGAAGCTCTTCTTTTTTTTTCTTAGAGACTTGGCGGATCAAAACCATTAAGAGGAGAGATTTTTAGCGCATCCTCACAACTGATAACTTACAATGTTAGCAATTGTGTTCGGCAATCTGAGTAACCATTGCTTTGTTATTAATAATAGGTATGCCATGAGTTAATATGTAAAATATGTTTCCAATCGATAAGGGAGGATCAGTCAATGTCAACAGATGTTTTGGCGATGTGAAGTCGACTAAATCGCGTTAGCTCCTTCCCGATCTCAAACAAGCCTCTGTTCGTTTGAACAACAGGGCGATGAAAGTCCATCGTCGTAGAATCAGGACGTGGCTACCGCCGAGTTTTAAAGAAATCCCCTGCACACCCGCCACATTTTGGATGAACGTGGTGGGCACATAACCAATAAATTACATATCAGCCCTGAAATTCTTAGAAAGAAATTTAGTAGACATTGATTAAAGAACGTCAATAGGGGATTTATTAATTAAAATAAATTGGTCTGTTACATGAATATGTTTAACGATATTTAAGAAAGATTGGGTTTTTAGAAAAATTCAAGTTTCAATTGAATTGAAATCCTAAGAGCAAAATACAAAATTGGGTATTGAAAAGGAAACATGAAATTTCCAATAGCTTTCTTGAAGCTTTTAAAATAATTTGTTCCACCATTTGATTCCTCTTCGGAAATAGGTAAGATAAGAAATGATCCACCCCATTGCTATCAAAATTTAAATTTTTATAAATTTTTTTAATTCTTTTACTACATTCCGTTCTTTCAATAACAATAGCAAAAAAGATATCATAGATGATAGTTCGCACAAGCGAGTAAATGTTATATACAAATAAAATGTTAAAGGAACTTTTATTACACGACCGGCTGATTAATTAATTGCGCTCGATTATTAATGTGGAAGAGACAGAGAAATAGAGATACGGAAAATTTTCCATATTAACTAAAATATCAACGATTTAAATAGATTTTTGAGAAGAGATATCTAGTAAAAACATAGATTTGTCAGTTATTTACTTCAGACTAAACGTGTTCGTTTCTTCCACAGCGAATAACAATTTTTCATATAACTGTTCAGCGGTCGCATATGATGGTAAGCATAAGCGATTGAAGCACGTGTGTGCACGTGGCAGGGCATTCGGATTATCCCATTTTTCAATGCAAAAATATGGTGGTCCAGAGGAACTTCGAAGAGCTAAAAAGCCTTCGTATGGTATACTGGAGGTGCCAGTGACAAATTTCAATAAATGTAATTTCTGTTCATTGGTGAATTTTTCGATCGCCTCCCAAAACCATATAATAATTTGATGATTATCATTATAACCCAAACGGTATTCTGTGTGTGATCGCCAAACGTTAATGTCGATTTCTACGGCGCCCGCTATAACTAATTCAAAGGTGCCGGCATCGAATAACTTTATTAAACGTGAATCGATAACTTCATAGAAGCCCCGAACTAAAGATTCTGTCTGTTCTTGCACACCGCGCTCCAAACGCCATTTAATTAAGCGAGCTAAATATTCCCGTTTATTATTTTCAGTAACTGGAATATTGCTACCATCTGCTTTAAGTTCTCGCTCAACTACATTTCCGAGTAAATTTTCGGTGACGCAGAATGTTAGACCCAAGTCTGCCCCTGTACTTATATCATTATCGCGAATCCATTCTAAAGATTGATGAAATTCATTGTCCAGTGACTCCAATTCGTTAAGAGCCGGTGGCAATCTTAAGAGGGACTTGTAAAAGTGGCTGACGAAAGGTGCGTTCAATAGGCAACGATGTATCAAAGCTAAGCCAAATATACGGCCAGCGAAGCGAAACCAATCAATGAAATTGTCAACGAGGGTCGATTGAGGCGACGGCTGTATGGTGTGAATATCATCAGCTGAATATTCGAAGAGTCCAAAGGAAGGGTTGAAAAGTTCACGTGAGATTAAAAGGAAGAATTCTCTGCAAAAAAATACATATAAAGGTAAAATACAGATTGAAATAAAATCTATCGGGTTACCTGGTTGGTCCGCCCCGATCGAGTCCCTCCTCGGATTCGAATGCCACAACCAATCTGCCATGACGTAGTTCTTGCTTATTGGCTGACATGATACGAGAAAAGGCGTCTTTCAACACCAGGCTACGGCGAATTGGTAATCTATAGTAATTGTAAAAAATGAAGAAATATAAACATGATAGAAAAGCAAGGCTCAGGGATTATAATACTAACTTTAACTTAAGTGGTCCCCGACCATAACCTTTGCGTTCCAACTTTTTATAAAAACGACGTAACCGGGCCTGCAAATCACGTCGAATTGGTCGCAGTGATCGCTGAAGCATGCTTGATTTTAATACCATTGAGCCAGGAGGACCAGGATTGACAGAAGAATTATAACCGATGATGTTTTGTTCGAAAACGATGTACAAAGAAAATTTGGAAAAATAAATTTATAAAAAGCTAGAAAATATAACTTCAAAATAAATGAAATGAGTAAAACAATGTTATGGCAGTCATAATATCATTTTGACATGGTATATGTCTGTCACAATATCATTCTGACATGATCATCCTAACATCATTTTAAATTAAGTGCTGATTTTGCTAAAGTCCGCTATTTCATCTTGTGCACAAAATTCGCGGATAAATAAAATTATTAAACAAATGGGCCAGTAAAGAAAGAGGCGGCGTAGTGAGCGTGTGCAAGCGGATATTCGGCTGTGAGTTGAATCAGAGACAACTAAATGAGAACATATGCCAACATTGCGCTTAAAATTCGAACTAGTGGAATCTCGCGGATTTCTTGTGTTTCTGTTATTAGCAACAGAAGTAACGATGTCAATTAGAAAGCGTTTGACTGCTTGCTCTTTCATTTCCATTATTTATATGCAAGTAGATTTTTGTATGTTTGAATACGCGCTACATGTGTGTGTATGAACAAAATCAAATTGTACGTAGGTATCAAATATAACCTCTATTCTTTTCGTTGTTTATTTCACATTGAAGCATTCTAAATTTTATGTTCTCGCAACGCTTCAAATTTATGAATTGTTGCACCGCAGCCACGAAAATGTGGCAGGCCCCCTAAGGTTAAGACTAATCTTACATCGCATTTGGATACTAGAGAAAAAAATTCAAAACTTCAAGACCAGGTGATCATTTTAGGCAAATACCACCAGAAATGGCTACAAATTGAAAGGAGTATAAAGTACCTTCACAGCAAACAACTGCGACCAAAGGCTTACCATCTTCTTGTACAAATGTAATTAACGAAGTAGTTACGCTATCGACAAAATCAGAAAACGCAGCAGGTCAAGCTTCTCTAAACGCATTTGAGAAAATGGAACAACTTCCTCATACTTTTAGTCCGCCCGATATAACAGAAGCCACTGAGGAAATAACTGCTGAAAGCAATGGTTCTCTAGGGTTATGCGAAACAGCAAATTTCTTTTATCACCTGTGTCCCCTATTATTGGAAAAATGTCATTAAGTCACACTTTTAACAGCCTTGAAAGCGCAAATTGCTCAGGACGAACTCAATTGCTTCTTGTTCCAACCAACAACTAGAAACCGTTAGCGATGTAAATTTAAATCGAACAAATATTCGCTGCTAAACAAAGCCTATCCAAATCAAGCCAAGACACGAAACAATCAAAGGCACAGAGATTTCCAGTGACGGCAGCATCATTATTATCGACGATTCTTCTATTTAGACAGTGAGATATACTCGAATTTAAAATTAATAGATATAACAGAAGATAAAGATGCAGAGTTTAATCAGCCATCATCAGAAACAAAAATTTTCGTCCTCGCTGGAGCATCGCAAAATCGAGACGGAACAGGAACTAATACAAGAGCCAAAGTAGATTCGTAGAACTTTACTAAGTCTAAAATTTAGAGCTCTGTGTTCACGTGGGGCCTTTTTTAATACATCCCAGCGAATTTTCGGTTGCTAATTTGCTGAGTAACGTCAGAAGAAGAAGAAGAAAGTTAGAAATAAAACGTATACCAAAGCTATTCCCGAAACTCTCAATATTGGTCGATACGGGTTCAACATCATCTAACAGTTCGCCGCTACGATCAAAAACTTCAACTTTTAAAAATGTTATAACGCGTTACGTTAGACATAATCTTCGTCTTGAAGAATCGACATAAAAAACTTTAGATGAAACTTTTGGCGAAAGCACTGCTCTTAGCTCGAGAATTAGTCTCGAAATAACTGCCAGTGACTTGGCAGAAGAAAAAAGAAGATAGCCCGCGGCGAAGATATTAGCAAATGTAATGCTTAGACGGCGAAACCAAAAAAGAATGTGCGAATATTTTAATAACAGCGGGGGAAGAAAATTTGACAGTTTCTTTAGAAAAGCCAAAATCTCAAGAAGCAAATGTTGTAATGGGTCGAATATGTCGTAAACCGAAAAATAAGTCAATATATAACGGTCTGCCTTTACCTATTACTACATTGACATCGAAAGGAGAAAATGAGACCGAAAATCGAGAAAAAAGAACAACCGCGCGTTTGCTGGATAAACTTGTCGGTGAATTTATTTGTGACCATCCACAAATTATGTCTGCCCTTGCGAAATACCATCGCAACGTTCCCGGTCTAACAGAACGCTTCGAGTTATTTGTAATGAAGAAAGAAATCTGCAATGCATACACTGAATTAAACGATCCCGTGGTGCAAAGAGAACGCTTTGAGCAGCAAGCCAACGACAAGGCAGCCGGTGATTTATTGATTATGTGCCCACCACGTTCATCCAAAATGTGGCGGGTGTGCTCACCGGCGAAGCTGCAGGGGATTTCTTTAAAACTCGGCGGTAGTCACGTCCTGACTCTAGGACGCTGGACTTTCATCGCTCCGTTGTTCAAACGAGCAGAGACTTGTTTGAGATCGGGAAGGAGTTAACGTCTTAGGTTGTAAGGTTTCAGGCGTACAAAACGTCTATTGGTGAATCTAGTTACTTGGACATCTCGTAATGGGCTAGAAGTCGGAAGGAGTCTACATGTAGTGTGGCGTCTTGCCCTTACAATGTTACGTTACTCGACTTTACGTTGCCAATATCGAAATACGTTCCTTTGTCGAAATTGAGCAATGTAGCAGACGGGCTGGTCAAGTATGATACCATGGACATGAGATATATATATATATATATATGTATATATTTGTTCTTTGTATAAATTATATAGATAAACGAGTTAACGGCTGGGTTAGCTCCCCGGCTTTATCGTAAGATCCATATGTTACCACTATGGATTTATCAACAATAACAGTTTTCCAAGTTTCTAGCTAATCTTTCCTACTTCAATTTATGTTCATTAATGGGCTTCTTCTACCCTTACTAAAAAAGCGGTTTTATATTCCATAAATTAATTTCGACATTGTGGCCTTATAGGATGTTCACGCTTACTCCTACTTTCTTGCATAGTACCTTAACACTCCAGTTTGCTGTAATCCTAGTGAATAATTCTAGTTCTTATGTTCATTTCAGTCGACGGCATGATCAGAAAGAAAAGGAAATGGCAATTGCCATTTTCAGACCATTTCCATATTAAATAAGTTAGCATTGTCAACTAACATATAATCACGTTTGAAATATATCAGTTGATCTGTTTCAATTATGACAACCTTCCTGATTCGACATTGCCCTGTACTAACTAAACACTTACGAAATTAACCTATGCTAGTTACCTAAGGTAATTTAAAGCTAGGTGTCGAACCAGAGCGGGGGAATCGACTTTGGTACTCATATATGCCCTTCTATTCGGAAATCAATGTACAAGTGCAGTTAGTGTCAGACGTGGTCACTTTTCCAGTATGGCAGTCTATCGGCTTCTTAAAATATCAGGTAACCCATGTCCCTGTGGTACGAGTGGGTACTCACCTTAAGTAATTTAGCACCTTATTCACTGCAAGGGGCATAGCGCGCCGGTTTATAGACGGTTTTCGTGGCAATATCCCAACAGTTTGTAATTTCAATTGTTCCTATATTCAGCTTCTCATATAATTCACACTTCATATTTCACATTTCACGTTAGCCTATCGGTTTAACACACTCGGGTAGCCGGCTATTTCATCTAAGGGCTTTCTAACGTCAGTCATTCGTTCAACGTTCTGCATTCCCTGGTCAGTTTCATATCATCATTCATTTATATAGCATTTGATGTTTTCCAACATCGATAACTAATTTTGTGACCAGAACACATCGATTTCTTCCAATCACTAATCAGCCGGCCTCTTGCGTTACCCTCCCTGTTTCGTAAAAATACCCATCATCAACATCTGTTACATTATACAACTATCATTTCTTGCAACGCCATTTTGCATTCACAACATCGCTCATTCAGTCATCTTATTCACTCAACATTAATAGCATAACACTTACTTGAATCGTTACACAGGCTCCATCAGCAAAAACTTCTACGTCATCGCACAGGTACTATCGCCTTTTTATCAGCAATAATCCATTAGCTTCTTAATCATTATAAATATGCTACCTACGTTTTCTCGGTATTGATTTCTCAGCTTTTTTTTCGTGAATTTTAATTTAGGACCATTTCAATTTCAATAGCAATAACGTATCGGCTTCTTGTATCATTATAGCGATCGTAGATTTCTTAGACTGAACGCGGCTACTGGCCGTTTCCCATATCGGATCTGTCTCACCGCATGGAAGAGTAGGCGCTTATCCACTTTTTTGTTCTGATATACCTTTAACTAAGTCAAAACTTGCTCGACTTTTCGTCGCACGTCAGACTGTAAATACTCTACTGAAAATCTTCTTAGATTACGTCTAGGTTCAATATGGGCGGCTGACCCCTTGCGGACAGCTGTTCCACGCTCTAAATCTTCCGAAAATAAGCTCAGTTTCTTTGACAGCATAATTCTGTATTTGGACTGAACCAGTCGACTTTATTCTCTACACACTCTATTAATCCGGCTCTTTGGTAAGCCATCCACAACGTCAGAACGTACTTAAATTTTACTGCGCCCCTTCGCCCGAATTTTTTTTCTGGTTATTTCGTACGTAATGCCCCTGTGATTTGTGATGTCTACATTGATGTGGTGTGGTGCTTGCTTCTTCGTGATTTGGCGGCATCATAGTAGCCTTCGTATTCACGATTTCTCGAATTTGAACAACCCTATAGCTGCCCTATTGGCAGCAGTGACATCAATGTCACTAGGCCCAACTGGACCATGAACCATTCAGTCATTTGATTTAAAACCTGAACACTTCTAGTTATACATCATTCAGAGAAGATTTAACATTATATTAGATTACGTAAGCTAGAAATTCTTTCTGGCACCTTGCCAAACCCTAAAGGTGAACAAGCGTTAGCCAGTTACAGGATTGATTAGGTGCTACCAACTAACAGAATGCCTACTAGCGTCAAGATATACCCGCACGTTCTTTTAAGAGGCTTCACAGAAGCGTAGGGTTTTTGCACCAGTGCAAAACCACTGCCTAATTCACCCATACACTAACCGAGCACGCACATCGCATGATAATTTCCGTTGCAGTTTCTTTGCAATATCATCAAGGTCCTTTTTAATGTGGAGCTCCTACCTGCGCGAAAGTCTCTTTTGCAGTGCTATGACAGCTATGTTTGCAAATTATGTCTCTTACCATGCAGTTTTCAACTATATGGTCAAAGATATCTCAGCGGGAACAGCCTGGTGTAGGAAGGCACTGGAAAAGACATCCCCTCGGCGGATACCCTGTCAAAACACAAAACCGTTTCCGTGGCTTTGCTACAGCCTTCGAAAACAACATTAGTGTTTTGTCCGGATCACCCCTGACTTAGACATAAGGCAAATACTCTTATTAAATTCCTCACGACACGAGAATAAATCATTGAGGTTCGTACCATCCAATTTACCCATGAAAGTAGGAGGCCTGTTGGCCGCGGCAGCTGCCGTCATCATTATAGCAGCGGAGGCAGCGGCTGAAGTCGTAGTTCCAGCTATTCTTTTGTGCTTCTTTGCCCCACGACATAGTATTTCCGACATTAGAAAAACCGGCCAACAAAATGAATCGAATTCTTTATTTAAATTTGTCTAATACTTGTCTTGCCATCTATAAAATTGCCAAAGTAGCTATTGATTTCAATCTTAAGGGGCCACAGACATCTGAATGAATTAATTCTAAAATATCATTTGCTCTATACTTAGTTGATTTGGAGAAAACTGCGCTGTGAATCGTTTCCATTATGCAAGACGTACACTTGTCATCCGTCATACCTTCATTCAATTGCATTTTATATATTTTGCCATCCCCATTTGACTTTGGAAGTTGACATGGCCGTAACGTAACGTTGATACTAACGCATATCATCATGGTTTGCACACACATAGACGTGGTCTTCTTTGTTCTTCTACTATAAACAAGTTATCGCTTTTGGAAGCTTCTAGCGCAACATTACCATTTTTACCATCTTTTATGCAAATATATGCAGACCTAAAATGCACTGAAGGATCGTGTTCTACTATTTTGCTTAATTAAATAAAGTCTACTTAAAGTTGAGGAGAATACAACGTATATCGCAAAGTAATATTATTTTTTACTTTAATCAGAACATCACCTTTGCCAATAGCAGTAAGGAAGTTCTCTACTCAATTGTATTGTAATTTATTAATAGAATTTCATTGGCGCGCACTCCAATGTCGAAATTTATTTAATGCTTCTCTAGGTGTGATCACTGCGTACGTACCCTTTTTATTTTCTGTTCATCCTTTTTCGGAAAATTATTTGCATAATGGCTCGTTTTTCCGTAAATAAAACGTTTAGCAAGAAATTTTTGGGCAGCTCCTTTCGATTGTTTGCTCTCTTCTTGTCCAATCATGTGGAAACTTTGACCAGTATGCCTTTCCCCCTCTTCGAAAAGTTTTACCTTACATGCTCCGCAGGTTGGTTAGCTATCCCGAGTCTCCATGTCCACAACGAAATTTTCAAAGTCATCTGGAATACTTGATACTAAGATTATTACCATTAATTCGTCGTTCAATTCAATGCCTATATCATCAGATTTATCAACGACATTGGTAAACAACACGAGGTAATCTGATCTTGTTAGAGATTTCATCATCTTCAAATTCATTAGACGTTTGTTATTGTGAATTTTTCGCATCCTAAAGCTGTCACAGTTTATTTATCAATACTAATTCACTTTTCTTTATTTTCTGCACTCAACTCGATTCTTACTTAAGTTCCCCGCTTGCATACTTCCATAACCCACCCTAAATTTAGATTTGAATACTCCATGAATCGTATTTCCTTTCGCCTTGTTTTTTTGATTTGATAAAATGATGAAGATACCATAATTATTTATTAATCTCAAATTAAACTACTAGCTCATTAAGCCATCCTGGGCCCACATTCTTTGTCAGCAAATTTTTATATATGTCAAGGGAAAAACACGCGTGTTGACTAATTCGAATTTATTTTGACAGTGACCAAGCTCACTAATGGTATAAAAAGTAACGGGTACAAACCATTATGCCTTGCAGAGCAAAAAGGTACTTTTCAATAGGTTGATTGCAATTATTATAGTAAACGGAATGAAAAAGGAACAATAGAATAATGAACTAAAATGTTCTTCCAATTCAATTTCTATTATTATAGCTATTGTGATTATTGTTAGTGTTACTATTATTATAATTGCCGTTATTGCTATTATTAGTTTTATTTCTATTATTATTATCATTATTATTATTATTATTATTATTGATATTGTTATTACTATTGCTATTATTATCACTATTGTTACTGTTATTATCTTTATTTTTATTATCACTATTGTTATTATTACTACTACTGCTACTACTACTACTACTACTACTACTACTACTACTACTACTACTACTACTACTACTACTACTATTATTATTATTATTATTATTATTATTATTATTTTTATTATTATTACTATTGTTAATATTATTAGTTTTATACCCCCCATTAAAAGAAAGGGTGTTTGGTCATTTCGTCATAACGTTTGCACCCAAAAGGAAGCTTGAAAGACCCTACAAAATGTACATATTCTTGATCAGCATGAAATTCTGAATTTATTAAGCTCTGTCTGTCTGTCTGTGTGTTGTGTGTTTCCCCTGGTTGCAGGAATTGATATCAAATTTGGCAGAAATATTGGAAGCTCTTATGCAAGAATTGGTGGTAAAAATGCGTCAAATCGGTGGAAACACAGGTCCGCAATATCACGTGAAGTGACAACTTCTCCGCTTTTCAAACGGGATGAATAATTGGTTTTTTGTTCGTTACTTATAAACTATAGCAGGTAAATGGACAAAATCATGACGGTGTATTCTAAAAGCGATGCTGTGGTACCTATACAAAAATGGAAAAAGTTGACCACACCTATCCAATATTGGAATGTATGACAACTTTATTTTTTTTGTTTATACGTTTATAAAGAGCAGCAACAAGCCTCCAAAATTGCATAAGCTATATAAATTTTTGGCCTTACAATGTCCGTCTGTTAATCTGTCCATCATCCGTCTGCCTAATTGTATAGCATCTGTGATCAACATTCTCCCGTTAGTGAAAATGAAAATATCGTCGACAAACTCGCAAAAGAATTTGGAAGTGACCTAAACTTTTCAAACGACGCGTCTATAACGCCCATAGGCCTATGCAACAAAAACTCGGAACACAGAAGTAAAGACTTTCCGTGTTTTTTGCTCGTTACTCATAATCTATATAACTCAAGCGCTATTTTGGTTTAAACTTTTATTCTAACAAAATTAAAAAATTCAGCCACGCCTATTCAATATCATAGAGCATAAAAATTTAGTTGTTTGCTTTCTTTTAATTTTGCAGGATAACGATGACAGGTAAAAAAGATTCGATCAAAACCGAATCCACACTAATTTGTTTACTTGTTATTATTATTATTATTATTATTATTATTATTGTTACTATTTTAATTGTTATTATTATGAAAATTACTATTATCGCTACTATGTTGTTATTACTATTACTATTATTATTATTAATATTACTATTTTTTTATTATTAAAATTAGTAGTTTTTTTATTAATTTATTTTTAGTTCAATCGAAACCATTTCTGATTATATGTTAATTGAAACTTTGGTTTTTTTTTTTGTTCGGTCTCTTTATTTTAATTTTTTTTTTTTTTGTTTTCACCTTTATAATCCAACTTAATATCTATTTGGAAATTCGTGTTTCC